CGTTGATGCGTTGTAGCAGTTTACAAGAAAAGTTGCTGCCGTTATGAATCTATGGTTCGATGCCTTGCATAGTGCTATGCTTTTAAGGTGCTAGTATTGATAATGATTAAAATTTTTTACAAGATTCCGGACAACCTAGCATTAGATCCAGCATACTCTCATAAATCATAAAATAATCAACAAGTTGTCTCAAGCTTTCATTTGAACAATATCACTCATGAGAAGTTAACGAGATGACGGGATTATGCATAGAATTGTATGATGATCGCTAACAGAAGACTAAATAAATTCGCTTTACCAGTGAGCAAGATTCCAGCTTATTTGTCACAAGGCAGTCGGAGGCACCGAAGGACGAGCTTTCATTTTGCGATTTAAATTACAGCGCAGAATCTGGATGGGAATCTATGAAAAAATGTGATTTCGATGCCCAATAAATCATTCTGACTAGTGATTTATAATTCGTCGAAAACAGCGAATCAGAATTATAAATTATATCAGAAATTCTGTTTTGACATATTTTGCTAGGAGAAGAGAATATTTATATCTTTTCAGCGTAAATCTTAAAAGTAAACAAGAAAGTCCTATAAACCTTGTGTTGACATAGAGCTTTTGCTACGAAGGAATGGTTAATGCGGCAACGATAGAATTATTCTATTTCCTCATGAAGTAAAAGTTCTGTAGCCAACTTTGATACTGCTATAAGTGATAATAATGATCGGACATTCATACAATCTTGATTTTTGAAGGAGATCTGGAAACGTGGAATCTGAAGAACCCTTGACGGCACTTAACATAACACTTGGTGCTATTGAAGGCGAGCTACCAATGGCAGCTCATTCACTTCATGATGTTGTGATGAGACATGGGCCACAGGTGGTTGTTTAGCTTTGCTTAAATACTATTTTAGCTCTTTTCTTGTGTGTAACTTTTCATTCAGCAACTATAAATCAGCGATCGTTACTAAAAACATGCAAATTAGCAATGCAGTTCATAGGTTTTTCTCATCTCATACATTCCAGCTCGAGCAACAATTTAATCGCCTCAGCGCTCAGCCGACAGCACTGAGCAATCCAGTCATGATTCCGGATATCTCTCTTCCCGTGAGTTTCCGTTTCCGACTTTGTTAGAGTTTCAATCGTATTCAGTCTATTTATTTGAACTTCATATTTTGGTACATTTCCTTGTTGCTCCAAAGTATTAGCTCTACACTAATCTTGAAGGTCTTTGTAGGTACTACCTGTGGTTGAGCCGGGTGCGCCAGCTCCTTGGCATCAAAAAGCAGATCCAACGAAAGCGATGAGACCGCGTGCACCCGTAGCAAAAGTGAAATTCAACTTTGAAACGTCGAGTATCGAACTGAGGGCAAGACTGCTACCTAGTTTGCTTGCACGCTATAGACTAAATAGAGCATCGAGCAGTGGAGTAACTGGTGAGCCATGTAAAAAAATGAATTTTAGATTTTTTTGATATTAAACATTTGAGGGGATGCTGCAAAATGGACTGCTGGAATTGACAGCCACCACGCCGAGTTTTGCGTTTCATCTGCTGGGAAACCAATGGACACATTCACCTTAGCTTTGCCCGCTATAGCAGTAAACGGGGAGTACACAATTGATAAAGGAGATGCAGCTCCAGCAACGAGCAAAACGCTGTTATACAGGGAAGGGGGCTACTTGAAAATGAGCGTCACGCTGGGTGAGTTGGTTTTTTTGGTGATGGTGTTAAAACCTCAACGATGGAATGTTCTAGGTCAAGTGAACCATTCTTTTACTACGGATTTGTTGAATCAAATCCTTTTTGCTGAGCAATCATTTCGCACCGAATTGTCTGCACTGGTCAGTCGCCTTAAAGCTGAACGAATCGGCTGGTCTCCTGCTGCTGCGCAGTCTACCTTGATGGACAAACAACCTCCTTTGCTCTTTTTTCTGACGGTTGGAACAATTACGCTCTTTTAATGCTAACAGCTAAATCTTCTTTAGGTGAAAGGACAAGGAGTTCCATGGCTTCAGTTGACAGCAGCCACACCCACTGCTACAGCTGTTCGCTTCACCATAGAAAGCTTGGATGCGGAGTTGACCAATCGTTGGGTGTGTTTTTCTTTAAGTTAACTGCATTCTATGAATAGACTTGTTCCTGTTTAGGTAGTGAAGGAGCAGGGCTCAGCTAAGGAACGTCTATTTGGAGCTGCTGCAGTACAGTTCAATGCAAAACTCGGACAGCTGGTGAAAGTGGCTCAGTATGAAGAACTACAACCTGAACTGCAAGAATACGCCACTTTTATGACCCAGGTTTGCTAGAAGAACATAAATTCTCAACACAAATGCTTACAGTTTCAGACTGCAATTTATAAAGAATATATACTTATTTAGTTTTATGACAATTATCCTGTTATTTATGTCCTGTAAAAAGTTTCATTTTTTTCACGTCACCCTTCTGCTCGCACAGCACAGAATAAGCGAGCGTTTTTCCTGACGATTAAGCAGCTGATCAGTGAATTGACTTGGTTTAGGTACGCGTTGAAAACAAGGAAAGTTCTTCACATCAGTCATACTCCTACCACATAGCGCTAAACCGCCCAATTCTGCTAGTTAAATCAAGTGCTATTGACAAGGTGAGATATCCACGAAAGCATTTTACATATACTCATAGTTGGGAAGATAAACCATATCTTAACGCTATTAATAAATGTTCTGTGTGAGCCGTTTCGTGGTCTTCAGTGAACCTATTTTGATCTCAAAATTGTTCCTACCTATGTCGTAGTTCTTGCGACGCAATTCCAGTGCCAGCCTGCCTTTTTCTCAAAAATTGCGTACGACAAGCCAGCTGAGATCGTCCCACAGAAAATCAAATGAGCAGTAAAGAACTTAGAATAAGGGCTAGGGCGTCCTTCGTGAGCGATGCGTGATCGAGCCTAACGGGTGCGAATAGTGAGCCGAAGTCATCTTAAGAGTGGAGATGGTAAGAAAGCCAGCTCACCCAAAGCAACCATCCAAGTACTTAGAGAAACTCCGATTAGCCGCAAGCTATTTGAGAATCCTCTATAGGCGATATCGTGAGGAGACAGCTCTTGAGAAGACAACGAGTAGCAAAATAAATGTTGGCGTAGTTGTCCTTGAAAACTTGGGAAGAGCATGCTGGCGTCGAACGGTGAGACCTATGCGAATAAGATCTTTTGGGTTCCTAGTGCGCCACGAATTGGATGCAAAAAGGAAGAAAATGACGCCTTCTGACAGGAGTTCGATGATTTCATCACAAAAGACGGAATAGCATTTGAAGAAGCAAAGGTGCAGGGGACTGTCACAGGAAGCATGCATGTGGAACGTGCCACGAAAAGGACGAGCGAGTTTTTGAGTCCGCTATCCTTTACGGCCTGGTTTAGTGCATACTAATACATCAAAAGTAGTGATCACCTCATAACTATTCAAGTGAAGTTGATGAATACAAAGGCTTGTGTGTAGTAAGACGAATTGAGCTCGAAAAGATGGCAGACTGCATCTCAGGTAAAAGCTGCATACCTCATCGCAGATCCTCACTTCTCGACTTGGTGCCAGTTGATACTCGAAAGGAATGCGGTGAAAACATACAGCGTATCAAATAGACCACCATTGACCTAGGTGCACTGTAGCAGCTCTACCGTATCTCCAGGAAGGTCGGAGCAGTCCTAGTCAACTCCAGAAACCAGCGGTGAAGTGCAGGCATAAGAGGGAAGATGTATGCGTACAAGCAGTGGCATAAACCGAAATAAGGAGAGGATTGCCAGAGATACCAGCAGGCAAAACACAAAAATGGCTTAAGCGAAGAAAGCGAAGCAGAGATAGGGGAGCTGGAGGAATTTGGAAACTTGGGATAGAGAACGGGAAGTACTTGAGACACGACTTCGAAAATATAGGGTTGCCAGAAAATGCGGATTCGTAAAGAGTTCTAATATTACTGGCGCCATTCGTATGCTTGAATATGAGGGAGCAAACAGGGCAAAAGGAAAAGAGTTGCACGGCTCTGAAATGGAAAATATCAAACAACCTCATAATGTTATATAGTGGGTGTTGCGGAACAGATGGTCCCGGAAGAGTATACCGAATGGATTAAAGTGATCTATGATGTAGCACCAGCCTTGCAGAGGGCCAATGATGGTTCAGCAATGGAAGGTTTTGAATGACAGCAGCTGTGGTCTCTACTATATGCAGTTGATGTGACCTTGAAAAGAGAAAAGAATTGAAGAAGAGGCGCTGAGATGAAAGAACCGACTGGTATTGCAAAACTTAAATCTCAACGCGAAGATGACTGAATATATGGGGTGGGAAGTCATCTGGAACCATATGCACCAGTGGCCCAGTCGAGAATAAGTCGCTCAGATCATGGAGTGTATTGCACAAAGGAGAAATTGAAGTGCGTCTGCCAAAATAAGCGCAGTCTGGTTGAAGGAGCTCAGGTTTGCTTTGTGACAAACTACGCCATTGCACCTCAGTCACATATATCATAACGTGATCCGCCCAACAGCACTGCATGGCAGTCGGCCGAACACTCGGAAAAAGAGAAAAGCTCGAATGTTAGGGAATGTTAGAGACTAGGATGCTGCGATGAACCTTATGTCTCGCGGGAATGAATCACATCTGTAATCTCATGGTTATCGCGAATAAACGTTGCTCCTTTCCCCAGAAGATGCGGAAAGGCAGTTGTGCTGGTAGTGACAAGTGAGTAGGAGAAAAGAGAAGCGCATAAAGTTGGTTTTGTCAAAGGTAGTGCTAGGTAAAGACCGCAAGGAAGACCGGAATCAGATGGATGGACAAGATTAGAATAAGATCTTGGATTGGACCAACACCAAGCCTTAGAGTAATCTGGAAGAGTTTAGCTCGAACAACAGACCCTGTATAAACGGAATGAACGCGAACAAATATTCATTTTCTATGTAGGAGCGGTCTCCAAAATTTTCTTTTGTTAGGCAATTCTCCTTTGGCTCAATTACAAAAACACCTACGACTACTGGAGAGATGAAAGAAGTCGCGTGGTTCGAGCGGCTAATAAGAGAACTAATAGTTTCCAACATGCTATGTTCTCCCCACCTCAGGCTAGTCAAGTAAGTAACATTTCTGTTGTATTGTAATGGTGGGTATATAGGTATCTGTTGCAGGATTTTGATGTAAATCTAACGTTGGCCATAAACAACGGGATGTATGTCTGTATGCCGTTATACAGTCAGGATTTAACAGATGGTATGCCAGCTTTAGTGCTATCCTTGCAGGTATGTGTAGTATAGGATTGTCCCGAAAGCAGTGAGGCACTTTCACAAGAATATGTAGTTTTTTTCATTGAAATAAGTGTGCAGTTCCAGTGGACGATTAGCTAATCCATAAGCTTCCGAAGGACACCCGTAAAGACTACCGACGCGTGATTCATTAACTTATCAGCGACAAAAGATAACCGAGCACTTGATCATATGTGCGATACCGCTTGTGACTTCTCTCTGGGTACCGCAACGTTAAGGTCATATTCAGAATCCACATATCTTTTTCTTTCAGCGAGGGTGGGTGAATATATTTGTACTGCGGTATTCAGGTTCCCTGTCGACATCATTTGATATTCTTACGGTACCTGAATATTGCAATACAAAAATATTCAGCCATCCTTGCAAAGTTGAATAATTTTCCTCTAACAAGTTATAATATATTTTTTAAAAGCAGAAGATGTAATAATTCTGAATATGTCTCTGGTGTTGCGTTTCGTTCCCAAAGAAAGAATTTGCAGTATGTTTTATCCAGAAGACGTGGTCCAATCGCAAGCCTGTCTCTCAAGTGAAATCTACTCATCTTGAAGTTATTTTGTTATTTTATTGAGAGAGGGCCTCAGTATTGCTAATACCCCCGCAAATCAATCCGTCTTCTTAGTAGCTGCCTAAAGAGGAAGTTCTGATGAGTAATGCGTTGAGTGCCGAGACTGGCTCAAGAACAATAGTTATTTGACACATTGAAAGCACTATATAGAGATATGTATATTATATGTCCATCGAAAGAGGAGTCTCCTATTTCTCGTTTATACTGTCGCAAGTGAGGACAGCTACAACAGCAGGATTTTCAACCCACCTAGAAAGATCTCGAATGGAATCTTCTTGTATCATTGTTCTGTGTCAAAATCGTTTAGCACAATATTCCTTTGATTATCAATGTCCTTCGCAATCCTCTATCCCTGTATTTGGCAGGGACCTCCAGAGACATGCTAGGCGTTTTTCAACCTTCTCAATCGAATCAGTACTTTCTCCCCTGTCCCAGGGTGAGGGGGGGGGGATGATGTCATCTTTCTCATGCAGCCTCAGGGAAGTAGCATCGATAAAATCAACGCTACAATGAGCAAGGGCACTTTAGCCAGATTCATGACAATGACTTCAACCCTTTCACTCGTGGCTGTGGTGCTAGTGGGGATATATTTACACATGTCAATCATCTGTGGAATTGCTGAATTTATGCAGAAAAAATCAGAAGAATGTTTTTTTCGATTTCATGTTAACCTAATTCTTTTGATAACTAACTCCTGCAAAAATTGAGAAATCCGCACCGTGACACTGAACTGGTATTTTTTAGATGTCATCAAATGTTAATCTCAGTGGTCTCGATATCTGACGTTTTGAGAATAATATGTTAAAATTGACCAATCAGGATTGAAGTTTTTATCATCGCTACCACAGCATGGAACATCCGTAGTATAGTATGTCGTACTGATGGTCAAGTATAGCAGTCAAGAATAATATCAATAACTACAATATCAGCTGAAATTTAAGTTTCTAGAGTTTTGAACAATTTTATAATTTTTGAGATTCAAAAAATTGGGAACACCTGTCATATCGACACTTTACTTTTAGTTCGCATAAACAAGCAATAGACGGCATAAGTGTTCTGCAAAGACTGAGTCGTGTATCCTGAAAATGTTTTAAAAAATGTCTAAAATTCTAGGAACTTGAGATCCTTTTAATACTACACTTGTTCCAGCTAAATTCTATATCCTACATCAATATACATTCACATGCTGCTACACATGATAATACAATTTGGAACCCTCTGGAACCTACAAAGCTTCAAATTTGTAGGTGTATCCCTTTTGAGTCACACTGTATAAATTTTGAAGCGTCCCGGTGGTTTCGGAACAATCTCGTAAATTGCTCATGTCTCTGATCACGCCTACTAAACGATGTTCTAGAAAAGTGATGTTACCGTGTGTATAATGAAGGAATTGGCATGTCAGGCCTCTTTTCATGGATTTAAGTTGAACTTCATCGACAATTTTGATGAGCTAGTAAGTTCCCAATTTAGAAGCCTTTGTTTTAAGTTGATATGGCTAATCTTCAATCTATTACTTCAAGCCTTTTTGCTGGATATTTGCGATTTTCACTTGTATTTTTCAAAACATCACCCAACATGAATCTTTCATAATGAGAGCATGTCTCAAGTGGAATGCTCTATCTCTCCTAATTTCAATTTTGTTTGAACATATCCTTCGTTATGGTTTTTTTT